AACCTAAATTTAGACCAGTTTCCATTTCCTCAATGACCGGCAACTAACACTTCCATTCAATTTAAACAAAATCATGAAAATAACAGAAAAAAGGAAAATATTTAAAGTTAGTATATGAGCTCACATTTAAGCATCTTAATGGCCACTGCGGTCGTTTCGCGCATCCCTCGAAGTCCTACTGCTGTTCCCTTGGCAACCTGACCAAAAGCACCCTTACCAATTTCTTTTTCTATAGTAACATGATGTCTCAGAACTTCCCAAGATCGAGTTGATGGATGAAGATGCGCATAATCAGGAACTGGACCGGCACTTTCTGCTTTTCTCCCATTTTTGCCGGCTTCTATGAGATCCATGTACTCCGCAGGGGGCTGGGCGTCCATTTTTGAGTCGGGCTGGCTTAGTTCGATATCGTCCAAACCTATTCCGTTCTATTGAACCAACACGCCCGTTTAGGTATACACACATAAAACTGTGATCAATCCCAATAAAGATCATACCTGGTGATATGATCTTTAATAATACAGTAATACAGCTGACCGATTTCGATATGACTAACGTTTATGTTCTTCCTTTATTTTACTGTGACAAAACATAATGTTCTCTGTTATTAAAACTTTCATGGCCCACGGAATAATTCAGGTTTATAGCATGTTCGTCGAAACTACGAACGGCAACATAAGGATTGTCGATTGGAAGTGGAATTCTTGGGGAAATACACACCTGAAAAAACCATAGCCGTGCTTACTCCTCCTCCCTCAACTACTGATTAATGTTTAGGTCACCGAGAGAATAGGGCGGCAAAAAGAGCTCAAGAACAATTATTTGGAAGGAAAATGTTAACCGAGTGCAAACCGTGTGGTTGTCTATGAAGCGCATGCGCAGCCAAGGAGTTGAACGCGGAACAACCGAATACAAATCCAGCTTGGTAAAGGACTTGATCCCAGGAAAAACGGATCTATCCGCTCAAGAGGCCTCTGCTACTATTTTGTATCTGCCACTGATTTAACAAGTGTTTTTAGCAAAAACCCTCATTTTTTCTTTTCATTTACTGCAAGCGCTTATTTTCCTGAAGAAAAGAGAAGTAAAGTTGGGAATGACCTCAATATCTAAGCTTTTACTTACATCGTAAACACCTCTGTCATCCTCATAACTCCTACATTTGAGAAAGCATACGATTATTCATAAACAACAGAGAAATTTTTATTGCTTAATAATCCGCAGTTCAAACAAATGGTTTTCGGCATATATTCACAATCGTTCAGCCATGAAATTTTTCAGTTTTTAGTGACATTTTATGTTAAGACAATTTCAGGTCTGGCGTATTTCATCGACACAATCCAAGTGGCAGCAAATTCTTACCTACGTTTCCCTACGGCGCCTGAAAAATAACAATAGTAAAAAAGGCAGATGAAATGGACGTGGTTCTAATATTTCTCGTCTTTAATGAATTTTGTAGCCAAACTCCCTAACATAGAAAATAAATTGTTTTTACCTCTCCAGTGTAGCCAGATTATGTAAATTATTAGAAGAAAGATTATGAAGGCAAGAACCCCAATTATGGCTTTGAGCATGACGTCGTTACATCGGCAATTACATTCCTCAGGACCTAAAAAGGATTCTTTTGTAAAGCTTAATAAAGTAAAATTCAAACAAGGTTTCCACTAGTCATTTTGACCCTTTCAAATTTATCAAATTTTTTATGGACTTAGAGCAGCAACCAGACTTGCAGCGGCATTCTGGGCGATGTACCGAGTAAAGCGGTAGGCCGCAATTTTAGCAAATGCTTTAAAAGGATTCGAACCCGCGCTTCCCAGCTGGGCAACAAAAACCACTCATTGGGAAAAAGGGAAATTTAGAGATTTTTTCTCTCCCACGGAGGAATTTAATCACAACTTTTTTAAAGAAGTACATTTTACTTGACCTGCGGATGAAATCAAATAAAGCCATAATCTCTGCAGGTGAGATGCAGTTTTAGCAATTGCAATAAAGGTGGAAAGAAGCATCCCCCAAATTCACATGTTTTATTTTAATAAAAATATTTTAGAAGGTCTTGGTTTAAGAAAAAGTGAAAACAAAACAGTATTTACCTGTGGGAGTTTTTTGGGATAAAGTGGCAACTGTACTTGATGCTGGCTTAACTGTGAAAAAATCAAATAAGGCATTTAATGATCGACAAGAAATATTCAATTTCTTCGTAAGTGGTTTCGGGATGCTGTTAAAACAAACTAACAGTTATCACTTCTATTATCATTGTTACTTTTGTCATGATTATTATTATTATTTTCAATGAATTACCAAATTAGTTAGATAGTGTAAAAG